GCTGTAAGGAAGTGGGGCTTCTTGAACTGAGTTTTGAAAATCTGAGGGAGGTTAAATGGAGAAAGAGGGGAAGGGTTATCCAAGCAGAACTGACAACATGCCCAAAGGCAAAGGTTTGAAAAATCCTTTAAGAACTTGAGAGGGTGATCCCTTATGGCTGGAGAGAATGGCGTGGTGGAGTTGTAGGATTCAGAACACTAATTATAGGTGACATTAATAAGGCAAGGAGAAAAAGGATTCAGTTAAGTTTGGGAAGCAGTGCATGCTGGATCCTTCTTTTGGTGATGTAATCGTGTCGTTTTAGCATACTAAACGAGGAAGGGTTGTGAGAAGTGAACAATAAAGGAATCCACTTAACTTATTTAACCCAGTATTGCTCAAACTTTGGAAAACCATGGGTAACTAACTGATTGGACATCAGGTCACAAAAAGTTTTGAGTCCTAAGCTGAATAGAGTTTGAATCTTATCCTGAAGGTATGGGAAGTTGTTGAGGATTTTAAGCATAGGAATGACACGCTCAGATTTGAATTTTAGAAAATCATGTGGAGGGTGGGCTGATACAGTGTTGACCAGACATAGAAGAAATCTTTACTGCTGTAGAACTAAGGCACGATGATTGGAATGAAGAAGTGAGCAAAGATAGGATCCAGAGATAATAGGAGGTAGAATTTGCAAGTCAGGGTGAAAGGGGGTCCGTGGTGATTCTCAGGTTTCCTGTTTCAGTGAGAAAAATGAAAACCATGTTTGTATATCTTTTTTTACATTTTTTATAAATTTTTTATTGAAGTATTGTTTGTTTGCAATGTTGTGTTAATTTCTGGTGTACAGCAGAGTGGTTCAGTTATACATACGTATATATTCTCTTCATATTCTTTTTCATTATAGGCTATTACAAGGTATTGAATATAATTCCCTGTGCTGTATGTAGTAGGACTTCGCTTTTTATCTATTTTATTTTTTTACTTTTTGTTTTTATTAAAGTGTAGTCAGTTTACAATCTTGTATCAGTTTCTGGTGTACAGCATAATGTTTTAGTCATACATACATATATATATACCGTGTGTGTTATCTTGATGAGGATCACACACTTAGTTTAGATAATGTAGCTGGGTGAAAAATGTAAAATTCAATTACACTTCTACATTCTTCTATTCACGTAACACTGTTTTACTCTGAATTGATTAACTTTAGATTTTGACAGTTGACACATTAGTTACTTAATTCTAGATAACCTGGGCAGAGGTCACTGTTATGAGGTTAGTTGACTTGACACATGATTTTGTGTGTTCTTCTCTTTTGTTTTCCTTAGTTATGAATTTAATGTAATTAAAATTTTAATTAGTTACTTAAAAATTTTTGTAGTATGTATTAATTCTTCTCATCTGGGAAAGAATTCTAAAAATTTTCCTGCTTTCTTTTTTGAAGATTTCACCCATAATTCTTAATACTGTGATGACAATAATGGCTGCTATGTCTCCAAAGGCAAAAGAAGATGAATCCAAAGATGTGTCTAAGGAAACAGAAAATCTCTGGGGCATCAAATCCATTAGTGATTATAACTCTTGGTTTCTTGGTGTTGACATGGCAACAGAAATAACAGAGAATTTCAGAGACATTGAAACTCCATCGATAGAGGAAAATTGTGCTGTTGTTGTGAAGTCAGTTCAAGTTACCTTAGAATGTGGCCTTGGGCATCGAACTGTACCTTTATTATTGGCGGAGTCTAAGTTTTCAGGAACTATTAAGAATTGGACTTCCCTGATGGCTGCTGCTGCTGACATGACACTAGAGGTATGACCACATCATTTAGTAC